TTTTGAATGTTGGTTTTATTAATTATTTCTTCATATTTTTTTTTTTACAAAAATCTCAATTTTATTTAATAAATGTGTAATAATAATAAAAAATTTAATAATATCAAAAAAAATTAACAAACCAATATTTAAACCAATTTCTTTGGTGGACCAATTTGCTATGTTAAAAGATGTGTTGATCTATAAAAAAATCAAATTATTTAAACGAGAGTTTCGAACCGTTAAGTATAACGGTTCGTTTCGGTCTAGTTTAAAATTTTATAAAGATATTTCGGTTTTTTTGAACATTTAGGTTCGGTTTGGTTATAACGGTTCTTTTCGGTTCGTTCTGGTTTTATAAATTTGTTGTTTTTTTTAAAAATCATCATAAACCATAGAAAAAAATCTTTTTAATTTATATTTTTATAATTCCTTATATAATTTAATGAAGATTATTTCTTATCTAATTAACTAGTAATTTGCCTAATCTATATTAAATCAAGTATATAAAGTAAAAAAATAAACATGGTTTTGATAAGAAATCATGAATTTAAATTGACCCCAAGGAAAATTAAAATTTCAAATTTAGGTTATTAAATTAATTATTTTAAAACACCTTGTGAACCGGTTTAAATTGGTTCAAGAATATTTATAACAATTCGGTTCGCTCTTTTTATAATTTTATATAAAAGTCCGGTTATGGTTCAGAAAATAAAAACGGTTGGTTCTTGTTTGGCTGTTCTGTTCGAAACCTTGATTTAAAAATGATATTTATTTTTTATGATTAATAGAATTAATTTTAGGGTTTTTAATAAATCCATAAAATGAGGCAGTCTTAAAGGAAAATTTATTTTTAAGTCAATTTATTTTCTAAATTAATACAATCGCTGCATATGGGAAATTCAACCTTAGCATTAGACACTTCCCTTTTGTTAATCTTCTAAAAAATAATTTGAATTTTTTTAAATCAACATATCTTTTCATTATAAATTGGTCCACCAAAGAAATCAGAGTATAAATTTTGTTTATAATTTTTTTGATATCCAACCCTCAACATGACTTCTATTTAATGATCCCTTTGTTTTATATAAACGGAAACCATATTAGATACGCGCCGAATCGTCGTTGCGCTGAATTGACGCAGCGCCGAATTGACGTGATACCTACAAAAACAAAACTAATTATGATATATGAACCAAGAGAAAAGATATTCTTTCTTTTTTTCTTAAATATGATAAAAATCCTGATTACTATAGGGGAAATTTTCCCTATGTTACATCCCTGATTATATCATCGAAAATGAACGTAAACATAAAAACAAAACATAATTATGATATATAAACCAAGAGGAAATATAATTATTTAAAATATAATAAAATCCTGATTATTTAATGAAAAAAAAATAAATAAAAATTGGGGAAACTATAGAAATTTCGAAGTTTATGTTACATCTCTAGTTATAATGAAAAAAACTTTAAAATAGTCTATTAGATAAGATAAATTTGTAATTGTTTCTGCAGAAAGAGAGAGTTAAAGATATTGTGGAAATAAATCATATGTATTCCACTTTATAATTGATTTTGATGATTTCAACTATTTCTTCAATTAAACTCTTTATGTATTCAAATGACAGCCTGATATTAACTACTACCCCTAAGATCTATTATAAAACCTTTATTTTTTTTCAATATCCTTCTTTTGATTCTTATCACTAAATGGCTCAGAATTGATGCTGTTTGATAATCTTTATTCTCCAATAATGGCTAAATAAATGTGTTATATAAATATTTACACTTTACAAATAATTAGACAAAATTGAAAGAAATTTTAAAATATAAATGATTTGATTGCTACTTGTTTAAGTTTTCGGTATTCCAATATCGGAATATGAATGGTCAAATTATTTAAGATAAATTATTATGAAAATAAAAAATGCTATAGGCGCAACGTTATAGTTTTTATTTAGCTTATAACTCGGTTTTTGTTTAGCGACGGAAAACTAAATTAGTAAATAATAAGAATTATTTAGGCAATAAATACAAATCTCAGATAAAATATTTCTAGGACACAAATTTATTAAGATTAAAAAAATATAAAGCTCTATCATTGAATCAATCTTTCAGCGTATTTTTTAAAAATATTATTTAACTAATATCCGCTTAAAAATATGTTTTAAAATAAAATGGTCACCTTTAACAATTATCGCTGTATTGCTTTTAGAGGTCTGCAATGGGCAAATTTTTAGCCCACAAACGCGCCCGTCCAATATTTTTGGAAAAATTAACCCGCCCTCCCAACCTGCCTATAGTAAAAATATACAAGCCCGTCCGCTCTTTAGCCGAAAATCACCAGCCCACCCTTTAATATAAAATTATTTAGCCGCCTGCCCATTATTTATAAAAAAATTTTAACCCACGCCGCTCATATAAAATTTAAATAAGCTTTCCTTCAATTTTTTTAAGTATCTAATATAAAAAAATAATTTAGTTTCAGCGCTACATCCCTATAAAAAAGTTTTATAATTTAGGAATTGCTATTATAAGTATAAAAAATATTCAATCCGAATTACGGATAAGGAATTTTTGATCTAATAACATATTTATGTAATAATATAAAATTAATATTGCAAACCTTCCAGCAATGCTAATTCCTCGTTCAGAAGAAGCACTGGTTTTTGGAATTGAAAATATTTTTCTATCTAATCTTGATAGCTTTGCTAAATCTTTTTCTTGTAGTTTCTATCAGTAGAGTAGGATATCCGTTTGAAGTATATCCTCTACTCAAGTGAGATAATTAAATAAAAAGTGAACTTATTAATAATAAATATAAAAAGACTAATTTAAATTGTTTATAAATTGTAATCTTAAACTAAACTAAGTAGCCTAAAATCTTGCTAAATTATACAAAAAAACATTAAATATTTTGTTATGTCATTAGGTAATTCTCTCCTCTGTAACAGCCACATCTTCCCATCTGTTGTTTAATTTTGAGGTGGATGCTATCTATTCCAAACATTGGATTTATAATTATAATAATCTTTAATTGAATTCTCATTGGGGAAACGGGTAATATCTGATTTTCATCCACGTCAATGTTATATACTTCCATGCAAATAAAATCCAACATGTTATTTTTTCTAATTAATTTCTTCCGACGAAAACATCCTCAGTTATAGGTACTTTTATATTAAAAATGTTGAAATTTCAGAGAGCATATTTTTTTTAATGTTTACTTAAATGATTTTAAATATTAAATAAAAGTTGAAAATTTTTTTTTAACCAGTCCGCCCACCCATAGTTTAAATATTTTTCTTACCCGCGAATGCGTTCTTTAAAAAATTTAACCCGCTCGTCAGCCCTCCCAGCAGACCTCTATTTGCTCACGCGCTATTGTTTTTGCTATATTCTCTTCGCAATTGATAATGACTTTGCTATAAAATTTTCGCAATTGATAATGATTTCACTATAATCGCTATTATTGATTCGCGATAAAAATTTCGCTGTCATGTAATCGTTCGAAAGAGTTCGCGGTATGAGTTTTGTCATGTTTAAATATTATTAATTTTCGTTTTACCTTATACAAAATGTATAGAGGCAAATTGATAATTTTCATATTATAAAATTGTTTGGATATAATTTTTGTTTCGCCCTTCCCATATTAAAAAATTAATTGTTTTTATATTATTTTATTTTTCACCGTTCAGATTATAATTTTTGGTTAATTGTTTATTTTGAAATATATTAAAACGATTACTTAAGGAATTAATACAATTTAACGTTCAAGAATTAACAACGCAAATATATATTACTAGCTGATAGACCGTCAAGAATGAGGGGGAATCAAAATTTTCTCCTTATAGTTAACGATGGATCAATCAGATAGTCAAATGAGAATAGATTATCCGTATTCATTCTTCCAAGATTTCAATAATTTTTTAGAGAAGGCCAAATATATTTTGGAAAATATGGAATAAAAAATTTGATTTGTGAGTTATGATATTTATCAATTCTTTTAACAAATTTTCCACATTCAGACGCAAAATGGTTTTTGCCTCTTCATATAAATTCATCTCAAAAAATCATTTAAATGCCTTTAAAACCTTCCTAAATACTATTTTAAAAAAAGACTTGCCATCAGATTCGAATCAATTATGGGGGCAAACCTGATTATATCACAAATACTTTGGTCGTAGGCTATTTAGGAGATTATTACAAAAATAATTGCCATGTGTCCAAACCTCGGGTTTTAACTTATTAAGTATACGTATCAATTAGAAATTGGTGTGAAGGGAGAAGGTAAGCTTCACATGTTATTTGTATTATATCCAAAATCCTCCTCCTAAAGTAGACTTTAAAAATGTTTTCAATAGCAAATTTCGTGAACATTTTATAAATTGTTTTTATCCCAAAGTTCCTGTTTATTCAAAATTCCTAGAGACATATTGTAATATTCTAACTCCTTTATTTAGCCCACATGTCATAGATTAGAACATCCTGTTTACACTCTTGACGTATAGCCTATTCTCCCATATTCATCTCTTAGTTTCAGGATGTATTTTTTCTTCTCCCTCTTTTTCCAACTTTGGAATCAGAAAAATGAAGAGGGAATAAGCTTGCACAGCCTGCAAAAATGCAGCTGCAGCAAAACGTTTAAAAATTTTTAAAAAAGAGAAAATATACATGTGCCCCCCCCATATACCTCAAAAGGTATGCAAAATTTAATTAATGATATTTTATCACTACTTTCACTGTTATAATAAAAAAAATCTCGTTTCCATGATGTGATAAATTCTAACATTTTTTAAATTTAACCGAAAATTTGAAATAATTAAATTTCAAAATAAAATTGTTTTTAGCCTCGAGATTTCGTAAAAATCAAAAGAAATTGTAAATTACCGTGGCACTAATTTACGCTTAAATTAAAGTTTTAAAAAATCGTTTCGCCAAAAATCAGAAGATTTGGCAACCCTATAAATTACACGTATATCAGTATTTATATATAAATAAGAGAAAAGAAATTACCTAAGGTCATACAAATAATTCTTAACATATTGAAAGCCGTTAATTGTAAAGGAAATTTTTCTAGATTTAAGGTTAAAATCAACGTAGAATAATTGTCGGAAGATATAAAAACATTGGAAGCATCGTTTATTATATTTTCATCATTCAATTCTTTAAGATATGTATTCTTAATCAATAATGTTGGATCATTTGAATTCAATCCTGTCGTATACAAATAATATAATAATGTAATAAAATTTACAAACCAAATTTTAAGGATATTTCATCAAAGCGATTTATTTCGTCGGGTATAAACCCGTTATGTATCAAATATTGTGCGGAAGATCGGTTGCCATAATTCATACATATCTGCATTTGGGTGCAATAATATAATAAAATAACATAATAGCAAATTTAAAAATAAAAATATACTTTGTTTAAATTATAATCAGGTGGTCATTTTTTGGTCCTAAATTTTAATATGCGATATAGGCCAGATAATCGGATATCTAGATTCAAGGCAGAGAAACAGATAGTCAAATATCTATGGAGTAAATATTAATCATAATATTTAAATGAAATAAACTAGCCAATCTTTTAATACATATAATTTCCATTTTAGATTAGCATAAATATTGATAAATCATAAACTGTTCTATCAGGTGCCTATTTACAAAAATGTGCGTAATTATACCAGGATGAGAGGTTTCTAATTAGGATTGTTGAAATTAACACCTATAGAAGATAGTATAGCCGAAGCGGACCCCTAGTCTCCAAATTTCTGGGTTATTAGTGGAATCTTTTGTTAAAATAATGACCTATTCTATATTCATATTTATGGGTTGCATTTCTGCAATATAAAGACCACTTTACGCATCATAATAAAAACTTCATCTCATAATTTTATTTGAATAAATATTTGGTTATTGCCACCGGAGGGTATATTTTTTTTTATGTTATTTTTTTTGAATTAATATATCAATTTTTATTTAAGATATTTAAAAAAAAAATTTTTACTTGCATTTTAATTTTTTTTTGGTAGATGAAACTTTGCATTTTAAATTTTTTTTGGTGATAATAGTATAATTAAAGGAAGATAAATATATCATTTTATATTTAAGATTTTTTATAAAGTTTATTCTACAAAATTTTTGATAGATGAAACTTTGCATTTTAAATTTTTTTTGGTAATAATACTATAATTAAAGGAAGATTATATCATTTTTTATTTAAGATATTTTAAAAAAGTTTTTTCTACAAATTTTGCATTTTAAATTTTTTTTTGGCAGATACTTTGCATTTTAAATTTTTTTTGGTGATAATATTATAATTAAAAGAAGATCCCATAAATAAAGAAATATTTAGCAACTTAAGGAAAATTACTTATTTTTGTTGTGATAATGCCTATAAAGTTTTTAAAGGGGGCAATGAAACTTTGCATTTTTTTTGGTGATAATACTATAATTAAAGGAAGATCTCATAAATAAGTAAAATTTTTAAACTAGTATATTCTTTAAAAAATATTAAAGATATTTTTAGGCCGTTATACAATTTAAGTTCTTCGAAGGAATTAGATTATGAGAGGAAAACATATCTTGATTGTTGTTGTAGCACTTAGAAATATTTCATTTGTCTCCCGATATATGCCACCGATGATCCATATAGCCTCGGAGATCAAATGCCGACCACGATAATATTTACGCTTTCACACATGAGTTCGTCAATTTCTATAGATCTTTGAATGATTCGACTATATGGAACCCACATACCTTGCGAAATTTTTTAAACCTATATTAAAAACCATATTTAATTTAAATTACCATCTAGAAATTGCATTCCTATCATAATCTAATTCCTTCAAAGCCCTTAAAATTGTAAAATGGCCTAAAAATAATTTGGTTCTTTAATATTTTTTAAAGAATTAGTACTTATGTACAAGGATACTAGTCTTAAAATTTTATTTATTTATAAGATCTTCCTTTAATTATAGTATTATCACCAAAAAAAAATAAAAATGCAAAGTTTAATCTACCAAAAAAATTTTGTGGAAATTTTTTTTTTAAATATCTTGAATTAAAAAATGATATAAAATTTTAAAAAAAAATAACATAAAAAAAAATAACAAAGAAAAATGTAAAATAAAAAAAAATAATACACCCACCGAAAGTGGCAATAACCTAATATTGTTTTGTCCATGAGCCGCATATTTGGAATACTAAGGAACAATATTTATAAGTTTATGTATAAGTTCTCTTTTTAGATAGTATACTTTTTATTCATGATTGTTTATTTTATAAATTTAATAGATTTCCTAAAAAAATGAATGCAAGTAATTTTATTTAACAAAACTTATAAAATCCATAAATAATAGAAAAATCAAAAAGAAAATATTCAAATTTTGCAGGGCGGGGGTTAGGGGGTGTTAAACCAAAATATTGGTCAAGAATATAGATAGAGGTTAAAATAATTAAAATGACCGAACGAATTTCCAAAAAAATGTCCTTGATCCTGTCCTTGCATTCTGACTTTAGATAGCAGTCTCCTGTCCTGGCTTTTGAATTCAGTTTGGTTTTGGCCTAACATATTTTGCAACTGTCCAGACCGAGCGAACCAATTTTCAAAAAACCATTTTCAGTCTGATCTTTACAAAGGATCTTTATTTGATTCGGGTTATTGGTCCGGTCCAGGTCTTAGATATCTACTATAAAAATGTGCATAATATTTTTCAGACTGACTAAAAAAAATGGACCGGGCATGTGCAAAATAATTTTTCGGGTCGGGTCCAAAAATAGTTCAAAAATCTTCAAAAGCCGGTTCGAGCAGGTCTCTAGGAAAGAATTATTGTAATATATGATTTAAAATAAATATAAAAATTAACTTGCTGGTCAATATGATAAATTTTTGGGGCGTATATAATAACATCTTGATTTTCGATATCATAATCAATTGACATGGGAAGATTTCCATCATGATTAAACATATCCATGAATGGAATAAGTGCCAGTATCGATTCCTCTTTAGCGAAATCGTTCTTTTTGACAATGCGGTTTTGTCTAGTGCTTACACACGATACTGCCCACCTAACATATATTTTTATAAAATTTGTTTCATTTTAATTCTAGGCAAAATAGATAAGAATGTTTGATCTTGTTTAATAGAAATTTTATTCAGATTCAATATTCAATTAGGTTATCACATTATTAATTTTACGCTTATTAATTTTGGGTCTCATTTTTGAACCAAATTTTATATTTCTAATTTGAGAAAAGGAAAAATCCGGGTTTGTGAGGCTATGTGTTTTGATCAGAGTTTGAAAAAAATCTTAAAAATTATTTTTGGTCAAAATATTTTTGAAAACTTTTTTTTAACTCTTGGTTTTATTAACTTTCGAATACTAGAGTTTATTCGTTTTTTTTGATAAATAGAATTAATTATTCAATTTTAGATAATCGTATCTTATCAATAATTTTTATAATTTTAATTCCTCGAATGTTACAGTCAAAATCATAGCTAAATTATCAAAAAGATCTTATGCAACCATTTATTATACCCTTGACTTTCAATCAATATATTTATACTACAAATCAATATATAATATTATCTTTTATTACAGGGTTTTCCATTCAAAAAAGGAAAAGTATTCGATCAAAAAAGAAAAAGTATTAATCAAAAAGGAAAAGATACCATCAAAAAAGGAATAGTGTCAATTAGTGTGGTTAAATAGATGGTTTTACACGACCACGACCCTTGTTTTTAGTCGAAAAATGAATAAAAACCTACACAACCAAATGGGTCGATCTGATCGAACAAATCCATAGACCTGAGCACCCATCCGCGCACCAACACAAAAACAATTTATTATAATATTTTATTTTAAATATATTGCTTAACCATATTTTTATGAGAGGATGAATATTTCAATATTAGCATAGAAATAATTACGTTTAATAATATTAGATTTATTTTTAAAAAAATTGTTCTCTTATAACCTGAAAATATTGTGTAATTATCACTTTAAACTACCAACTTGAGTCTCGAACTCGATTTGTGATCGAGAATCCAAATTAAAAACTAGAGGATGAGTAGTTCAATATTCACTTAGAAATAATTATCGTATTAAAAAAAGAATATATTATATTTCTTTTTTTATAAAACGCTCTTATCTTTAGATAAAAATATTTTATAATTAATATTTTACACTAGCAAATCGAATAAACCGAGTTGTGATCGATAAACCAATTTAAAAACTAGAGGACGAGTTGTTCAATTCAATATTAATTATTAAATATTTAGCATCGAATTCGAAAAAATTATCTTCTAAAACCGGGAAAAATTTATTATAGGAATTTATCGATTTTTAGATATTTTTCATTCATATATCATCAAAAAAGTTTATTTAATTAATAATTTACGAGGTCTGGCCTAAAGTCATAAAAATTGGCTAAGGTTCAAGCCGACTAAATGAGTTGGCTCAGGAGTTGACATTAATCAGCTCAAGTGGGCTTTAGTAGTTCCAATAGTTGGCTCGAGTTTAATTTTGAGCCATTTGTTATTTAACTTTAATTCTCTAAAGGATATTACGACAAAAATTAATAGTTTAATATATAGAAAGATGCCTTCCCATCAAAATATTTAGCAATATTGGCTATCCAAAATATTTCATTAACTTGAATAATACACCCTTTAGCGAGTAGTTCTAGCTGCTCCTTGCTCGCAAGTAACGGTAGAGAGATCCATCAATGCACTAGCAATAAGTAACCCTATTACGAACTGAATTGGACAAATGTACTTTAAGATATTTTAGATACTGACCTCTCACAGGCCCTCACCTTTTGGGACAACAACTGCTCTCCCACCCTTAGCCGTCCCGCTTCCAGTACCCAAAAAGACTGGGATGCTCCTCTGATCGCCCGTTCCGTTGAATATCTTATTTCGAACAGGCCCTTTGAGGAAAATCCCAATGATTTGGTACTAAATGCAAACTCTGGCTACGAATGGTTGGAAGCCATCCCCAGCGCCAATCTTGGCCTCCTCATGACTGGCGAACAGCTATGTATATCTATAGCCCTCCGCCTCGGCTGTAATGTCGTAGTTCCCTCCATCTGCATCGACTGTGGTCAGCCCATTGAATCGAAGGCTTACCATCCATATATTTTTTTTTAAAGTATAGATAAATATGAATAAATGTGTTATGAAGAAATATGGCTTATTTATATACATATGTTTTACCTTGCACTGCAAGTTCTCCCGTTGACGACAACCTCGTCATAAATCTATCAATAACATTTTACTAGCCGCCCTCAAAAAAGTTAATATCCCATCTACCCTCGAACCAGTGGGTCTTTCAAACAAATACGCCATACGCCCGGATGGTATTTCTCTCATACCCTGGTCTAATGGTCTTCCGCTAACATGGGATTACACTTGCGTTGATTTTGCAGCCAAGTCTAACCTCTCATTTTCTGCTATCGAAAAGGCAGAAATCTTTAAAAAAAATAAATACGCTGGCCTCGCCAACACTATGTTCATTCCTATCGTTACCAATACCCTAGGCATGTTTGGAAACGAGGCCCTCAATTTCATTAAAATTATAGGAAAAAAATGAGACAGATCTCAGGGGACCCCCAATGAAGGATTTTAACTTCGCCAGCAGATTTCCCTGGAAATTTGCCGGTCTAATTTTTTAAGTATTCACTCTTCTCTTAGATGATATATACCCCCCTTTTTTTAAAATATATATATTTTTTTTATAGTCCTTTTTAATGTCTTCATAGATTATATATATATTATATATTTATTTTTTTTATATTTAATTTTTAATATATCCATTTTAATATATATTTTTTAATCCTCTGTAATTTAATGATTATGAATAAATAATAAAGTCCAGTTAAAAAAAAATACATATATTGTTATACTTATATTATATTATTCAATTATAATAAATTTATACCATATTTAAAAAAAAAAAAATCAATAGAATATTTAAAAAAAATCATCAAACTAAATAAAAATTTGTTAAATAATGTTTTCTTTTGAGTTTTGGTATTCATTTTTATTTATATAAGATTTTGAATTGAATCCGTTATTAATTTGTGAATAATTATATATTGTCTTAGAATAAATAAAATAATTTTAATGAAATTGTTACAAAGTTAAGGGATACTAACTTCATCAAAAAAGATGGTTAAACTCCGTAATTTAAAAAAAATCCAAATGGATTCGTATTTCGGCAATAATTATATTTTTTAAATTAAAACTAATAATATAGAGAACTACAGAATGTCAATAATGATAAAATTCAGAAAATATCGTACTTTTTAACATTCTAAAGAAATTTTTTTGGATTGAATCTTATAAAAAAAACTTCTTCAATCATTACGTAAAACGAAATAGAAATTTTAAAAAGTATTTTATATATATATACACAAATTTATTATTATGTATAACATTGTTCCTATCCATGTAAGAACATTATATCTTTCCAAAAATGATTTTTGATAGTTTTGAAGGAATTTTTAAGGGCCATTAAATTAAAAAATAAAGATCTTATCCCTTGGAATTGAAATCCAAGATATTTTTTTTAACAAAACAATTATTTATTTTTATAAAGATAATCATAAATATTTTAAAAAAATGGGCAGATTTATGTACAAAATACTAGTATGATTTCCTGGAATTTTATTTAATGCTGTCAAGATTTCTAGGAAAATCGAACGCGTTCACTTTCGCTTTCAAAAAAGAGAAATGCGTATAATAAAATTTTTTTTAAATATAATTTAATATAAATAATAGTTTTATATATTTTAACAAATTATATTAGCCATATTAAAAAATAATATAGTTTTATTTTGATAATATAATTATAAATGCAATATAATATAGCGAATAAATAATATTTTTATTTATAAAAAATTTTTCTTATTAATTTTTAATGACAATTGTTTTTCAAAATTTTTATCTGATAGACAAAAACGTTTGGCAGTTAATACGACATTTATATTAAAAACACGCACTACGCCAATGAGGGGATTGCGGTATTATACTTATTAAACAACTCTTCTAAAGCGTGGAATTTATTAAAAACATTTATTGTTTTGCACTTTGCTTCAAATAATTGCGATAAGTTAGACTCCTCCAATCCATTCTCTAATTCCTAGTCAAAAAAAAGGATATCGAGAAATTACTTCCATTATCATTTCTAAGGTTTTCAATAACGCTATAAGTTTATTATGTGGAAGTCCATGGTCATTGAGGCTTGACTCAGGGGCGGTCTGGCCATAAGACCCGGTGGGCATTTTGCCCACGAGGCCGCGAGAAAATGTCGATTTTTGAGGCCGATCAGAAGAAAATATCAAAATAGAGGCCGATTAGAAAAAATTATTATTATGTTCACATTATTTTCTCTTATCAATTATTTATTTTTAATGATATCTCTAAGATTTGAATATCACATTCCTTGAGAATTGTCATGTCGTTTACTATATTTTAATACATAATGTATCAATAACGTCGCTTGACGCTACACATCATTACAACGTTCTTTTCTTTGTTTTTTTTTCAAATGAAGTGAAAACGCTTTCGTTTGCGTAGAGTGAAAGCATTAATTTATTATATTATATTTTTATACATTGCTTTATTGTAGAAATAATATAGCCAACATTTCTTGTTCTTAATTCATTGAAATCAAATAAAATCCAGGTCGGTGAATCAGATAAAAGGATGGATGCTTGGGTGAAACAGAATAATTCATCTGGCCAAAATAAGTTAAGAAGGCTGCAAAAAATAGGTGAGATAAGGTGGTGGGCACGTGAAAAAGCCCTTAGATGGATATATGGTAAAGAGAGCTTGCTCCCAATAACGATAAAGGCACTTCAATTTATAATAGATAATAAATAATTTGAAACAAAAACTTGATAATTTATGTAAATTTAAGATGCTAAGTACAGTTATAATATATTTAAAAATTTTTTAAATAATGGGGCCACTGTCATATCTTCAAACTAAAAAATCAGGTACTTTGTCAGCATGGAAAATGAAAGAAGATGCTAAATCTTCTGTATCATCGATTATTACATTG